AACACCGCCTCGAATCCCGCAGGGAATTTCACAACATCGGTTGCAACTCCGTTTGCGGGCCCTGGTACTGTCTCTTACAGCAGAGGCACCGGCTTTTACACAACTGACAGCAACTTGGGTAACGATATAAGCTTCCAATCCCGTACAGCCCCAATTCCTGATGTTGACTTTGAACGTACACCAATTACTACAAATGAAGTGGACGGTGTGAATTACACAGTATCTATGGTCACACAAACCATCGGAGGAGAGACAGTGATAACCTATGAAGCCACAAGTTACACCACAACATCCGAACAGAAGATTCTTTATGCTGATAATCTAGTAACAGTTCATCGACCAATATTCACGGGGGATGGAAGTGTTACATATGATGGTGCTACACAAGAAGTGACATACCCCGACAGAGATGGTAATCGAATAACACTGACGGGTGTTACGTCGTTTAATCAATTCAGTGGTGGTAATATAACAATAATAATAATAATAATAATAACAACAACAGTGTCTCCCGATTTTACGCAGGCCCCAGGTCCAGGGAAATTATATGTATCAGATGATGAGGCTACAGTGACATTTAGCACCAGTCACATAATAACATCTGATATTACTGCCCTCATTAGAGACACACCCGTAGAGTTCATGGTCAATGCAAACCAGTTCAGCTCAATATATGATGGGACGTTTAACATCTCCACTGAAACTGCTACAGTCACGTATCCAGGAGGAGGAGTAATTTGGTCAAGTCAATTCAACAACAACGATTACGCACTGTATGTTGATGATGAACGTGAAAGCAATAGAATTGTAGATGCTGTCAGCAGCCTTCTACTAACTACTAAATCTGAACCAGCCAAAGACTCGGGAATACTTCGTGTGATTTTCAACGGAAGAGAAATTTACACCTATTCTCCCGTGGGTGGAAATAGTGAAGTTCGGATTCCCCCTTCCGGCTTCTTTGACTACGTTGACATGACTCTTTCAGGACCGTCCCTTCCAGATGGGCCATATACTGGATACAACAGTATCACTGTGTTTGACGGTATTGAAGTACGGCAATTTAACTCGAGCACTACAGTTCAAAGGTTTGAAGGCCCCGGCTTACTCTTTTTGCCGCAAGACTCAAACAGAGCATTCTACACAACTAACCCCAGTACCACTAACTACCTCACACAGTCAATTGCGATTTTAAGAAACTTTCTTTCTTCTCCACAAATCCAACCTGGCAGAGGCAGGAAAACAACCAAAAATAGAGATATAACAGTTGACTTTGGAACTGATGTCACAGTTTTCGAAGGCGCCGACGTCACATTTGAATGCAATGTTTTAGGCGGAAGACCCGAGCCAACTGTTGCCTTTTACAGAGTAATTTCTGACACTGAGCAAGAACTCTTAAACAGCACCATGGGCGAGATCATCATAGAAGACAAGGCACTGACTCTGCTAAATGTCCAAATGGATGACGTAGGAGAGTATGTGTGTGTAGCTAGCAATGGAGTCTCTCCACCCGCCATGGCTACTTCAACTCTGGAAAGTGTCCGACCAGCAGGTTAGTGTTGCATGAAAGTTTTGGCATGAAAGATTAAGTAACAATCCATTCTTGTATACTCTTCATTTTGGCCTCAGTTGCTCCTGTACTCCAGCCTGGCTGGTTTCCCTTCCGTCCTACGTCTGTACAGAAACTTGTCTTCCCCGATACATCATCACCAACAATGGAAACTATTATTAATCTGCGAGAGTTTGAACAGCTAGTGTTGGCATGCCGAATGGATGGAAGACCCAAGGTGGATATAACCTGGCGAATCAACGATCGGCGACTCAATGAGGTACTGACACGTGGAGGTTACGAAGTTCTTGAGCCAGTCCAAGGCAGGAGTGTGCTGATCCTAGATCTTCTAAACACATTCAATGAAACCTTTGACAATCCCCTTTTGGGGCTTAATACCATTGACTGTATAGGTGGAAATCTTGCAGGAAGTGCAAATGGCCGAGCCAACTTGCAAGGAGAAAGTTAGTTTTAAATGCTGAAATTTGTGTGTTTTAATGAAGGGTTTCTTCGATTAACAGTAATTGAATGCGGCACAATGGCTGGTGGACCCTGTCCAGTAACTTGTGGGTTTGGTGAGTTGAGATTTATAGTAAATCTGTCTGACTTGCATGATGTTGCTGTAGGTACCAGAGATGTTGGATTTAATTGCATAAGGTACAATCCAAATCCAGGACCTATTGACATATCACAAGTTCCACTTTCAATTATTCCTTTAATTGAGCGAACTGAAATTTGCACTACCAGTGTGAACAACAATGTGGTCATTTGGTAAGTTTTTTAGCTCTTTACAAGTCAGTAAATGTGCATACTGCCCTCGTGTATGTGTATGTAACCACCCATATAATTATATACACCCAGCAAAAAGTAACTATCTACCTCGACGATAACGATGATTTGCATTTCTAACAAACTATGAGACTGAAGAGTCAAGGCTGACTGCCTCCATTGTGCACACAAAGTGTCACTTTGAGCAGCACTTGCAATAAGGTGTACAGAGCATGACTCCAGAAGCATACTCAGTAGACCTAACCTATGATAAAGCAGCCAAAAGCTAACGTAAAGCAGATGTTACGATCCTCTTCTCAATAGTTGTGAATACAGTTGCTTATAGTGTGGACCTGTGGATAAAATTCTATTGGTTTATATTATTCTTTTGTATTTTGATCTAGTCCTGTAATAGAGTACAGGTGGAATACGACCGAGTGGAGTGAATGCTCAAAGAGTTGCAACGGAGGAGTCCGAACCAGAAGTTCGTCTTGCCTCGAGGAAGAATTCCCAATCAATTCCAGATATGCAGCCCTGGTTAACAGTACCACACTGAGACCTGCAGAGGACACCATGTGTGTCATGTCAGAGAGAGCTGGTCCAAGACCTTCTGAACGAGAGCTGTGTGAGACACAGGATTGCCCCTTCTATCAAGCATCAAGATTTGGACAGGTATACATGTTGATTGATTATAATGTAGAAGTGACAGAGTCCGTCATAATTGTATGTAGGCCTATATCTGTTGTCTTTGTTTGTATATAGGAGCGGCAGTTGCATAGCACGAATGCAACATAACTGTGCGTGTTTGAACCTGCCTGTGCCCACCACTTACATGGTGTGTTTGCTTTTCCATTCACCATAACTGTAGAAGAAATATGATTTGTACCGCGTAATACTAGAGCCCAAGCTGTTAATATCACATACTGCCCACTGCCGAGTGAAGAATAGTGTTGCAGACAGACAGACAGACAAACCAAGTACTGTAGTTCATGTTTTTATATTGTACCTTATATACTGAAAAGAAAAATGATGCACTCACTATATTCTCAGATTTAAAACGCTTGCAGAATAATTATACAGTTGCCCAAAGTAGCTATATTAATTTCTGCTGCCTATATGCAGTGCAGTGCAACTTGTGGTGGTGGAGTCCGCACGAGAACTGTTGAATGTGTAATACTCCTAAATAAGTACAAGGACATGAATGGAAAAACCCAGCTCAATGTGACAGACGTGAATATTACTCAATGTGGAGGGGAGCCCCCGGCGGAATCCGAAATGTGTAATACATTTGATTGCTTCTATCGGTGGATACCTGGAAGATTTGGCGAGGTGAGAAGCACAAGATAGAACTATAGAGCTAAGCAGCCTGCACTTAACACAAGCGTGCAAGACAAGCCTGTGCAGGATCAACAAAAAATAATGGGAAGGATTGTGTCAGACCAAACATGTGACACCGATTGTGTTTGAACACTAGTTAACCTGAGCGCTTTCAAACTGCTCAACCTTCCGTCCCTCTTGTAGGGAACCGCATAATATTTTACTGTCCTACATCATAGTGCTACTTGAATTACCACCTACCCTTTCTTCCCTCAGTGTGGAAATACACCATCGTTGGGTCCACCAGTCTCCAATCAATTTTCATGCAAAGAGAGACCAGTCACATGTGTAAACGACATGCAGGTGCCAGTCAATGACTCATTTTGTGAGGCTGCTATGATACCAAAGCCACCAAGTATATTAAAATGAATCCCTATATATGGTGTAACCTATCTGTGTTTTTATTATGGTATGGCAATCCAGTTTTAGCCAGTTGTGGTAATAAGAACTGCTTTGTTGGGATCTGGGACGCCACAAGGTTCTCGCCAGTAAGTCAGACTGACACAGGTGTTGTGGGTAAAACTATCATTTCTCGCTGCAGTGTTCAAAGACGTGTGGATATGGCATGCAAGAGAGGGAACTGCTTTGCCTCAGCCCTCAGACCCTGACACGAGTCCCCACTGACTTCTGTGATATTAGCAGAGCACCAATTGCTAAAAGGCAGTGTTTTGTACGAAACTGTGGTATGTCTCATTAGATGTATGAATCATTTGTTACAGTCATGTCCTTATTCTTTCAGAAAACATGTGTTTACGAGATGAGAATCCAGGTGTGTGTGCTGTCGTGGTCAGGCAGAACTTGTGCGATTCACAATTAGCTATGGGCAGTAGTGGTCTTCGTTGTTGTGTCAGCTGTGGCATGGGGACTGGATCAGACTAGAACAATCATGGCTTTATTGACAGATAGTTGATAGTTGATAGTCACACCGTTTATGTATGTATTATACATTCCTCAGCTGCGCATTTGCCATGAGGATTTAGCTTTGTGTTATGTCAATATTATTATTGTGGAAAATCCTCGCGCGCCGCACTACGTGAACCTACACCGCGGACCGACCACGGTCCCGGACTACCCCGGCCCCCGCGCGCCCGAGAGCGAGGGGTTGGCTGGCGCGCCCGCGCCGCCCGCGCGAAGTAAACAATGCTCTTTCACTAGGAAAGAAGTCCCGCACTAGCTGGGTAGGATGAAGCAGATCATTCGCAGATTTATCACGGTTCTGGTACGTGGTATAATTATACGGGGTATGCCTGTGGGATGGAGAGTATAGTATTATAATATACCGGGTTGGAACCTGATGCTTCTTTATGATTTTTCGCAGATAATCATTACAGTTGCTTCAGCGATTAAACTTACAAGGGTACGCTACTTAAACACACTACACATAATAAATGTATAGTATATGATTATGATTAGGTACAGTATATACTCCCTTCGCAGGAGAAGAGGCAATCCCCCATCACTCCCACGTTTCGAATTGGCCCCAATGGTGAAACCATCCTAGTCATCAATGGACAGGACATAGTATACCTCACTGGAAACAATGCAATGCGCACTGACGTTTCGGTCAATGATTTTCTTATATTTGCAAATGGCGACCTAATTCTCGCTCCACTCACATTATCAGGCATTAGGACGTTTTCGTTTTTGGAGGAAAATTCTGCAGAACTGGAACAGTTTTCTGGAACAGCCTTTATTGGAGAAGAAGGCATTCTCTTTACGAGCAGGGGCTTGGCTTTTTTCACAACAGACTTGATATTTGGCCAAATGGTCATAGGGATAACAGCCACTGCCATGCCAGTGCAGATCGTGGTGGATGTTGTCCGCATCAGCTCGGATCCGTTTGTGTTATTGTTGGACGTTGAGAATAGAAACTTCACAATGAGACTCACAGGCTCACCGACCAAGATACTGAACATTATCACAGACAACAGGATATTGTACGCAGAAAACACCCTAACGGTACGGCAAGGTATTCTTACAACAACAGAGTTTCCTGACATAAACATGCTTGCCGTCCTCCAGCTAGAGCCAGGTACCACTAACATACGCTACAGGGTGCTCTTTACAGAGGCACCAGATGTGATACTAGGACCAGGTCAGGTATACATTGGGGTGAACGAAAACAGGGCATTTTTTGTGGAAGATCTCCCATTCCGAGGAGGCGACAGGGACATCATAGGGTTCATTAATCAACAAGTTTTCCTCCAGGCTTTTAATCTGAGACAAAATAACTCGGGAGTAGATGTTGAAGACCACCTCCGCAACAGGACAGTCACCCTCTCTCGCAATACGTCAAAGTTTGATGCCTCCAATGCTGCTGAAGCGACTTACATCGGCCCACAGCGGTTGCTGGTGCTTCGCGACAGGGGAGGGCGCATCAACAGCTTCCCTGGTATCGCCCAGTTTTCAATCTTTGAGAATAACACGCTGCAGATTTTCAAGAGTTCGTCATCTGACACTTCCATGCATTTCCTGTGTACTGGTGGAACAGTGTTTGTAGACGGTTCAGAAGCCCTGTTTGCAGGCATTTCAAATCCATTTGTGATCTCGGAATTGTGTGACAATATCCCAGTCCCGGATGGCATCTCCTACATCTACGACATAGTGGGGGACAGTGATTCCAAACGCATACTGAGATCGATTGAGTTTAACATGACCAACACATTCAGGACAGAGGAGCAAACTCCTATACAAGTCGTCACAGGTCTCTATGTGACTACTGTCAAAGAGCCAGAGGCAGTTTCCTTTAGAAACAACACAGTTCTCATTAGAGACTTCTTCGATAACACCGTCACACGAATTGAAGGAGTAAAAACTCTCTATGTGAACACGGAAGACAGTCAGTTCCGCTCGTACGAAAACCAGTCGCCGGTTCCATTTCACGGCCCGGGAACTCTCACGTTTAGCAGAGGCACGGCATTCTTCACCACTGACAGAACTCTCGGCAGAGACCTGGAGTTTCAAGCCAGAACAGCGGGTGTTCCTACCATTGACGTTCGGTTGATTGCCACAACTGTGAATGACATCGACGGAGAAAACTTTACAGAGTCCACGGTTGCAGTTAAAATCGGCGGGGATAGGGTGATCACTTTTGAGGCTTCGAGTTACAGGACATCAATTGATCAGGAAATTCTCTATGCAGGTGATCGGCTGACTGTTCATCGGCCTATTCTAGTCGGAGAGGGAAACGTAACGTACATTGGAAGCACGCAGACTGTGACGTATGCTGACAATAGTGGGACAAATAGGACGATAACGGGCGTCAGTAGGTTCCAGGACTATAGTGGTGGCGATGTCAGAACAACAACCCTGACCGACGACACGTTTGTTCAGGGTCCAGGAAAGATCTACGTGTCTGAGGACAACAGTAGTGTACTGTTTAGCTCTAGCAACCTGATATCGGCTGAAGTTGCAGCAATAATCAGGAACGGAGCTACTGATTTCTCCATTGAAGTCGACCAGCTGAGCTCCGTATATGCCCGTGTCTTTAATATCTCCAACAACTCTGCAACGGTGACGTACCCTGGAGGAGGAGTCATCTATTACAGCACTTTTGACGGTAGGAGAGAGTCGCTGTACGTGGAGAGCAGTAGTGTCACTAACAGGCTCCGTAGAGATATCAGCACTTACATTCCCCTTACAAAATCTGTTGTACAGGAAGACCTGGGGATAATCAACATTATTTACAACGGACGAAGTGTGTATCTGTACAGACCGATACAAGGAAGTCGAGGTATCGTAGTTAGTGGAACTGAATCCTTTACGTTCAATGGCACCACTATCAGTGGTCTCTCATATGGAACTATCACTGGTGTCAATAGATTCATTCTACACGATGGAATTGAACTCCAAATCTTTAACGAAAGCAGCACGCCGGTGGTATTGAGCGGCTACGGACTCCTTCTTGTTCAGATGGAATCTGACACTGCGTTCTATACAACCCACCCCTTCTCAGTGAACCTATTCCTGCAGACAATTATAGACGTGAGGGAATATCTGATCCCTCCAGAGATAAAATTGCCCCGCAATAACGGTAAAATCACGACAAAAAAACTGACTGCTACATTTCGTTTTGGAACCAATGTAAAGGCGTTTGCCGGCGCCTCAATCACATTCACTTGTGCTGCAACAGGACGCCCCTCCCCTACTTTTGAATTCTTCCGAGTAATTGAAGGGGACAACACTAGGATACCTCTAAATGAGTCTCAGACTGGAGTATCTATTGAGGAGGATTCAGTCACTCTCAGTTCAATCGGTGATGCTGACTCGGGGACGTATGGGTGCACAGCAGACAATACTGTTCCTCCAGCAGATGTGGCACTCTCTACACTGAAAGTCAAGGAAGCAGGTGTGTCGTATATTCACTGATTTCACAGAGTTCATGAAATCACGAAAGAAAGTTTACATAAATATATACTCACGCTGCACTTGGCTGTTAGTTACTATTTCTCCACCTCTCCCCTTCAGATGCACCCATAGTATCTCCGGGATGGTTCCCATTCATCCTACGTCAGAACCAGAGCATATTCTGGCCCGTGGACCCTGCACCCATTACTACTACTTCCCTTGACGTTCAGGTGGCGAGGGAACTAGTGTTTGCTTGCAGGGTCGGTGGTAAACCGAGACCCAACGTGATGTGGGAGTTCAACAACCTCCAGATTCAGGAAGCTATTGCAATTGGTCTTTTGGACAACACCTCAGTCTCCATAACGCCCTTCTCCAATGCAAGAAGTGTACTGATCGTCGCTGTGGAGGCAAACCAGGACATTCTCCGTGGTCGGAATGAAATCACCTGCTCGGCAGCAAATGCAGGGGGCGCCACGACTGGAAGAATCACTCTCGAGGGAACATGTATGTATCTTATGTTTACATTGTTCAGCCTGTAATATGAGTATGCCCCTTCTAAGATTACGACTGCATACGAACAGGAGCCGGGGAGTGCTCACGAACATGCGGTCGTGGTGAGTCAGCAGTTAGCGGAACCTCCAAACAAGGGACACTATGGGGCCAACAATTTTGTCCCTTGTAGAGAGGCCATCCCTATCCTGGAGGTCACTTAAAGTATTAGCATGGGGTTGAAACGAGAGGTCGTCCCTATCTCGAAGGGTCCCTTATCGGAGGTTCCACTGTATACCTACATCAACAATGTTGAGTAATGTTGCCACCACAGGTTATCGCAGAGTCCTGTACACGTGCACAGTCACGCGAGGAGATTTGACGGAAGAGACCATTCCAGCTAGCCTTGTTCCTGATGAAGCTGTCCCCTTTGACCGCACTGAAGTGTGCGATGTCACAAATACGTTCGGGGACTTTGTCATCTGGTATACCCATAATGATTTTTATGCAGCCATTGAGTAAAATGGAGTGGTTTATAACATGTATTCACCGGTTTAATCCACCTTGCTAAGGAATGTACTAATAACTTTCCAGGAGCTTTCAGTTGTGGGGTAAAGCATGTTTAACAAATTTCAACGAGTTTGTCCCCCTTGTTACCACCTCGAAAAAACTTTTTTTCCATTTACAGTCCAGTGACAGACTATCGCTGGAACACTAGTGAATGGACAGAGTGCAGCAGAACGTGTGGTGGAGGAAGTCGTCACAGGGACGTGAGCTGCCTCAACATCTCCATACCAATCACCAGTGATTACAGAGCCGAGTTCGACCGGGCCACTGAGAGCGAAGCCAACATCACCATGTGTGCCATGTCTGAGAGTGCAGGAGTAAGACCTACATCTCGGGAGCTGTGCAATACCGATGCCTGCCCGATATGGGTAGCCGATGAAGAATTCTCAGAGGTAAACAATAAACTCATCCAAATGTGCACATGATTTTTGGAACATCTGTAGTGCAGTGTCACTTGTGGGGTTGGAGTACAGAGCAGGGACGTGACCTGTAACATAATCACTGGGAACTATACAGACGAATTTGGAGACATTCAGTTCAACTTGACGGTGGTTAACAGCTCTCTGTGTGGTCCAGAGAAACAACCGCCACCCACCAAAGAGTGCAAACCCACTAGATGCCTCTACGAGTGGCGCCCACTACTATTTGGTAGGGTACGTTCAACCTATGAACTCTCTGATATTTCTTCCTGATTCCAGCGTGAAATTTCTGCTGATTAGTCATATACACAGACAGCACTATCAGAAAACTCTGATATTGATTTGTTGATTTCAGTGTGGAGATGTCCCACTAGCGGACGAGTTTCCATACTGCAGACAGAGAGGATTTTTCTGCTACAACGGAGACCCCAACCCGAGGATCCCAGACTCTGATAGAGTTATCGACGACAGCCTGTGTGCCAACTTGACACCAAGACTGTCACGTACGTTTTTTTCCCCGTCTTCACTCAGATACTGGCACCCCCAAATATTTTTAGGCTAGAGTGGAATCCCTGTCTAAGGACACCTCTGAAACGGTACAGACACCTTTCCCGCCTTTAGAACACTTCACTAATATGGACACTTTCTTCTGTCCCATTGGTGTCCTAGACGAACTTTAAAATTAGACACTTCTGCTTGTGTAGTGTATAGCACCTCTTTTCGCCAAACTACTTGATTGCCGATTGTGCATGGTATTAGCATGTTGCATAATATTATTATGTGTGTACATATTATAATACACAGCACTAGGGAGTTGCGGTGTTGGTCGATGTTTCAACGGAATCTGGGAAAGTTCACCACTGTCTCGCGTAAGATCGCAAATTAGAACGTGGTGAAATGTACGTATACTCCACCCAGTGCTCAAAGACATGTGGATGTGGCGTCAGAACACGAACAGTCAAGTGTCTGAGTCCAAGAACACTCACGCTGGTCTCTAACGATTTCTGCGACATTGGCACAAGACCTCCACTAGTGGAAAACTGCCTCTCACGAAACTGTGGTATGTAGGGCAAACACTGCATATACATACATACACACACATCAGTCATTATTAAATTCTTTGCTACCTCCAGAAAACAGGTGTGAAGGCGACGAAATTAGCTACTGCAATATCTATGAAGAACGTGATTGGTGTGACACTCTGATGGCCTTGGGAAGCACTGGACTACGTTGCTGTGACACATGTCTGGGGCTAATAGGTGAAGACGAAGAACGCTGCCGCTCTATACCGTAACTCAAATATGCTATTGTGTTAGAGACTGCACTAAATTTTATACGTGTCTGGGGCTAATACATGATGATGAAAAACCTTGTCACTGATCTTTATGCAGTTTGCATTGCGGCATAAAGATATTAAATACCAGAGACAGCACAAATTTTTCATATATATATCACTTGAGTGTATAAAAATTTTACACAGACTCATATATACCACTTGAGTGTATAAAAAAACCTTTACACAGACTCTTGAGTGTATCAAAAATTTTACACAGACTCATGTAACAATAGACCACTTGAGTGTATAAAATTTTACACAGACTCATGTAACAATAGACCACTTGAGTGTATAAAACTTTTACACAGACTCATATATACCACTTGAGTGTATAAAACTTTTACACAGACTCGTACTCTTTTTGCCACTGAGTGTATCGACTGGCAAGCAGCCTAGCAGAAGGCTTGGTATTTGCCACAGTTGACTCAATGTCGTCCATGGTGACAGGATCAATGACCACACCCTCCAGCCCACTAGCGGGACTCCCCTCACTGAGACTCTCCAGTCGATTGAACACTTTTCTCACCGACCGCATGACTGCTTCTTTGCACACCAGTCTAATATCCGACCCAGAATAACCGTCTGTCAGCTACAGGGTGTGTGTGTGTGGGTGTGTGGTTTTAGTGGCAAAAACGCCAGTGTGGTTAGCTCTCGTGTGCAATGCAAATACTATCGGCATGAGAATTGAGGAGTTGGAACTGTGTGAGTTTACCTCAGCAGCTTGGTCATAGTCGATCTGCGTAGTGATGCGGAGTGGATGCTGAGATAGTGTTTGTGGGAGGTGGTGAGCAAACATTGCCGAGCGGGCAGACTTGACGGGCAAGTCTACAAGAATCCTCTTCTCTAAACGACGCAGCATGCCATAGTCCAGCTCCCTGCGTGCACGTACAGCGCTAACATCACCCCTTCCTCAATATCCTTAGTATATATAGCTATCATAATGTTTTGACTCAGAGCAACTTTTCCGCAATTCTTACACATACGCACAATATTATGTCAGATGGAAATCCCTCTATAGACACAAAATTTAGTTTACAGCGCAAGTTACTTATTACACACCCACACATTAACTAAATCCTGCACTTACGTATTACCTCGTTACGTATGTACCTCGGACTTACCACATACTCATGCACACATTAACTAAACACCTCACTTACCTCAGGACATCCCAGTACCGATGTAACCCGTTGTAATTCTACATAGTAGTTCACTCACATAATGTACTCATTCACCACCTTAACATACAAGAGGTACGTATAAAGAAAACTCACCACGGTAGGTTAGAAGCAGCTAATACAAAGACAAGGTCCTCTGACTTTGCCAGGCCATCCATCTGAACCAATAGCTCTGTCTTCATTCTTAGACTCCCTTCATGCTCTGAGCTTTTGAACAAACACACACACAGCTCCCACACACACATGCACCACACATACACACACCACACACCACACACCACACACACAGCTCCCACACACACATGCACCACACATACACACACCACACACACACAGCTCCCACACACACATGCACACACATAGAGCATACAATATTTCTGAAGGTGGGTGTGTATAAAACGCTGTACCAAAACGATAGGCAAGTTTATTGCGCTTGTGTAGAGTAAACCATCACTACTTCACAGAACATTTCAGTCCAAATGAAGAAGTGAAGGTTAAAATTACCTAGTATCATTACATTCATCAGTAATGAATATCTATATACAGCAAAAAATACCCAGGTGCTCCTGCTCTTTGTCCCATAATTGACTCCAGTTCATCCATGAATATAGTTGACGGAGCGTGGAATCTTGCCAGCTCAAACAGAACCTATTCTCATACCCAGGCGCATCACTCGGTCACCGATGGACTGTAATATTCCTTACCCGGACCAGTTTCTCAGAGTCTCCCCTCCACTTACTGACAATGGAAGAAGCAGAGATGTTGAAGAAGGTTGTTTTACATTCCGTTGCCACAGCCTTAGCCAGCATGGTCTTCCCAGTTCCTGCAACAATCGGCATGCTGGTGTTGCGTGCGTACGTATACAGGCTTTGCAAGGAACCTGGCGGGCCGTAGAGAAGAAGTCCCTTCCATGGAGCTAGAATACCAGTGAAGAGCTGAGGATACTGTAGAAACAGCAATAGATTGATGGCAAGCAAATTACAGCGCTGGGTATGCGATGTTCGTAATTCAGACGACTAGGTGGGCTTGCTTCACTCGCCAATAATTAACACATAGATTCTTTTACTTTGGCTAAGGATGACAACGTTAGTAAAACACTCGAAAATTAGTGGCAACTGCGATAGATTTTGCAACGGATTTTGCCGATGGCTGAGCAATCAATCTGCTAAATGTTTCTAGGAATCATAAACTTTTCCTGGAATACAGTACATGTGTACTAGCACACCTTGATAGGGTAGACCACAGCTTCTTTGACCAGGCGTTTGGCAGCATCTAACCCGATGATGTCGTCCCAGTGAACATTGGGGTTCTGAAGGTAAATGTCCTGTATGTTGTGGACACACGAAATCAGCGGTAGCTAACTGGTAAGAAAGCCGAGAAAGTGGTCGTTTACTTACTCTGGATATGACGGCTGCAAGTTCTCTCATCTCACTGCTATAGCCTGCAAACCCGGCAACCGGCTTCAACAGACGCTCCTGCATAATAAGACACAATAGTACACCTATGTTTAGCTGCACATAGGAGTACATGTGCACTAACACACCGCTGGATCCGGAATATCCGATGTAGCATCAGCAATGGCTTGTTGGAGAAGCCCTTTCACGCTTACTCTGCTGTTCTGTATTACCAGACATGCAGCATAATGACTTACATACAATGCACAGAGTGATAATGTCCCCCATCGTTACCGAAGCTCTGTCCCGCCTTGTCTCAGTTATGGCCGATCCCGTTAGCCCCAGTTCTTCGGCAGACGACACAGAGACGACGCACGGGGAAGATTTAGAGTCAGCTCCATTGGCCTGAGGGGAAACGCATTATTCGGAAGTTACAGGGTTCTGCCCAGAATGGATGAAGTCCAGTCGAAACACACTAGGCCTGGACGGATTATTCCGGAATAGTCCAGTCCAAACACACCCCAACTACCAGAAAGTGTGTACACATCTCAAAACTGATCGCAAGGTCTTCATTTAGAACATGATCCTGGGGGCAAAATGTGTATTAATGAAAAATGAAGAAGGGCAAAGCCCTCGGTTTGTTGGCATTTCGCTTGGACTTCATGGGGGGAGCAAGAGTTTATGAAGGGGGGTACCCCCTGCCCCCCTAAATGTACCCCTGACCACTAGTGGTGACAAGCTGGTGGAAAAATCCTCCACTGTTGACCACGGTGGTATGGGCAGAACACTATAGAGATATTATTTATAAACCTTTCTTCGACTCCGTTTCCTCTCTGCACTAGACGGTCTTCGATGCCTCCTCTCATCTTGGCCAGTGGTGAGCGTTTCAGAGCTATTGCACGGATGAATGGGTGGAAGAGACGGCACTCTAGTGCTGCAAACATCATCATCATAATGATCAGAGTATGATTATACCACATTAAAAAACACATGTAGTTTGATACCTTGCTAGTCTCTTTTTTACTGATCTCGACTCACCGACTGTTTGAGAAAAGTAGCTTAAAACTTGCTTGCTTCTTCTCTCTTGCTAACACTTACCACTAGAGGTAGCTCTCCTGATAATCTTGGGTGTTTTCTTGAACTTCACAAAGTAGTATGATTCATATTCCTACATACACAAGTAAATATACAGACACGATTATGACATAATACACATATTACATTACATACAGCACCTGTAGGATGGTTGAAAGGTCAATATTATCACAAACTTGGTAGTTGGCTATAGAACTGCCACTTTCTTTCACAAGAGCTTCTGCCGATTCAAGAAACCTGGAGTAATAGGGTACTGACTATATATACGTAGCAGTATGTATGTACTTCACCCTTCCTCTCTGAGGTGGTGGAGGATCAGCACCAACAGATTTCGCTTCCTCTGCTCCACTCTTACCTCCTCCTGCCACGCGGGAAACAGAGCAAACTATAAAACTACCGTTGCAAGCTCATGCAACACCCCAGGTAGCTGCATCTACTGTATATATACACCCGGACCCTCTAGTCTTTCCGAACGCCTTGCGGTGAACGCGTAACAAAAGGGACACTCACTGCTTCCCGGGCGTCGTTGGCAGCCTTCAGCTGCAAGTAGCTTAACTCGGCACTCATGATGCAGCAGCAGGGAGACGGGCGCACGAAACTCGTTTGTTTTTCCCGCGCTACGACAAAAGTGCTCAGTCAGCAGCAGCTCACGCAAAAATAACCACGGGCAAAATTTAACAAATTTTTCGGATATCTGGCAAAAATAAAGGCGAATAAAAAGAGCTATGCATACAACTACAAACACATCCTAACACGATACAGTTATCAGAGGAATCATGTAAAATGGTGCAGATAATAAAAGAAGGGAGTAAACGTCGACGATTTGTGTGGCGTGGACTGATAAATCTACGGTGGGAAAGCATGAAGTGACAGAGAGACTGACAGACAGAAAACGGTGATAAATATCACAGCGAGGAATACAATAGCATCGTTAACTAGGATTATAATATTGACTATGATCAGGACTCTAGCAGCTGGCATCAGAGTAGAACGCAGCAGGTTTTGCCCGACGGAGAGTCCTGCGCCAGTTTGCTCTGTTCTGCCTGACATCTCTTGATCTCCCGGACCAGCTCGTGGAAACACTCGTCGATGTTGATGCGCAGCTTGGCAGAGGTTTCGAAGAAGGGGCACTGGAGCTGCTGGGATAGTAAGACTCCTTCGCCGTTTGACACTTCCCTCCTGTCATCCATGTCCGACTGTGTGTGTGTGTGTGTGTGTGTGGTGTGGAGGGAGAGAGGGGAGGGGAGATAGTGAGAGAGGGGGAAGAGAATTGTGGAGAAGTAATGAAAGGGGCGACGGAAGAAAGGGAGAGATAAATAAACAAAGGAAAAAGGAGAGGGTGAAGGGGAAGGGTGAGTCTATGGGGGAGAGATTGCAGTACTTGATTTGTTTGTTGTGCCTTTGCCTTTTATATCTCATAGTCTTCACATACATGTAAACTGAACAGCTCACACTTTCACATGAAGAAATGAAAAGCACTAAAGTGCAAACCCTATTAACCCAAAACACTATTTTACCTGTTTGTTGCGCGTGGTGGCAGAAAACGTGGTAACAGACGGACAGACGGACAAACCAAGTACTGTAACCCTAGCTGCGCATGCGCGCCAAGGGTTAATTACAGGGAGAGGGGGAGGGGGAGGACTTCTAAGGGTTTCAGAATACGTACGTTGATGAGCATGTGCCAGTGCCTACATATGTATATATGCTGCTGTGGCTATGAGTGTCTGTGTATGCCTCGATTACACAAATCACGGTGCCAGTGAGGCACTAATGTGGCATAAGGTGATGACCACTCGCTAGCAATTACAGCACAGAGTATACAGGTACGGCCACGCTGCATTATGATTATCATGTGTACACACATGTGTTGCTTTCCCCTGCGGTGTAGTTGGTACATACACAGGCAATCAATGAGAACAGAGGGGGCAGGAAAGCCTCCCTTGTTTGCCTTTCGTGACTGTCACCTAACCCCTCCTTGTGTATATACAAGCCTATATACTATATCAACACAACAAGGATAGCTATGAATGAATGAGAAAGGTTTTGCAGTTTATGGGCAGAACATCCACCACCCACAATTCCTATTCACACTGTCAAAATATGAAGGTTAATCTCCCTTGAAATTTTCTCACTACTTCTGTGAAAAAGGACCCTCCGAACAATAGAGACCTCAAGGGGTTCTGCCCCATAGTAATACATTAGTGTATTATACTTCCGCCCTCTGAGGAAAGGATGCCTCTGAATAAAGGAATGTCCTCCAGAGTTTTAACTGTAAATCCTAAGTGAGTCCCCGTACCTTGTTTCCTACCAATACAATTGGAATATGCTGATCCGTGTCCTTCACTCTCTTGATCTGCTCGCTGATCTTCGACATCGGTGAAAACGTCGCTCGCTCAGTCAGTGAGTAGACGAGGATGAACCCCTCCCCGTCTCTCATGTAACGATCCCTCACTGCACTGAACACCTCCTGTAGCAGACAAGAGACCACTGCATACTGCACACACAGTTAGGAGACCTTGCTATATCGGCACAATGTACCACAAAATCATGACTTACGGGGTAAACTGGTATATGCCCGGGGTGCTGGGAAGCAATTGGATTGACTACTGAATGTAAAACGTGTGTGTGTGTGTGTGTGTACGTGATGGACCCTGGGTTTTGCAGCCTCACCTGACCAGCAGTATCTAGGATATCCAGCCCCACCACTTCTCCATCCACATCAGCATCAATTCGATACGCATCCTCTGCAGAATACAGACATATCGACACATTATTACGGAACATTATTACGCAACAACTGTATAGTTATAGGCCCCTATATTTTAAGTTTTGAAGACAACATTGTAATGCCACAACGATATCACATTGTATAGTGTATAAAAAAAGATGAAAAAATGCAAAACATGTGACAGATGATGGTGGATGTGCATATTTCGTACATATAATTGTGGCTTAGGACTAGTGTTTTTTAGAACTGGTTTTAATCTATATTTAGACTATGACATCACTCACCAATAGTAGGATCGTAGTCTGCGGCAAAGACACTGCTAGTGAACTGAATTGTTATAGCTGTAGAATGAGTAACATAGACAGAGGAGAAAGAGAGAGAGGGAGAGAGAAGGAGAGAGGGAGAGAGAAGGAGAGAGAAGGGAGAGAGGGAGAGAAGAGAGAGAGAAGGGAGAGAGAAGGGAGAGAGACAGAGAGCATTAGATATAGGAGCGGGTGATAGAGAAGGGAGAGAGTGACGATAATTTAGAGATCTAATACTTTAGTATGTATATATGATATATTTATAATAGAATAGAAAAAACAAAACACAAAACATTGAAAATGCAACAGGCCATGCATGCAACACTCCATAACACTTGCACAGTATGTGTAGTCGTGGGTCAACATGTGCCTGTGTTTACATAAAACCTCAACTCGCAAATCCCAAACGCTGATGACACACACGTCAACACAGCTGGTGGCCGCCATTTGCTTCAGTATCGGAATATATGCGTAATAGCACCGTCGCCTATTCAGCATGTCTCAACAACTTGGTAACGAGGTAGAAAGGCAAGGCAAGGTAAACAAGTCAACTACACCCAGGACAGCTTTTCAAAGAAAAGAAGAAGAGCTGCCCTGGGTGGGATTCGAACCCACGGCACTCTGCAGTCTGCATACACATGCAGGAGGCAGCCTTATAAACACACAAAGTAACGTAATATGAGTATAAATACACTTCCTTATGTGATCCGCTATTAAGCAATTATCTAACTCGGTGGACTGTTTCCATGAGCTACATATAAATGATTAGTGCTTTGGACAATAGTTTAAACATGCACTGCATCTTGTAAGGGCATCTGGAGTACTAATTGAAGGCTTACTACAGCATACACCACAATCCATACAGAGTCTGGACAGGAAAATGTTGTAATGACAAGTGTTACACTCAATTAGATAAATGGCATGTGGCCTCACCCTTAATAACACACCATATAGTATATACAAGTATGATACATGTAGTAACTATACCGTTACCTGAAACATGTGTACATTCATACATGCACCAATAATATACTTCAACTGCACCACATTATGGGGCAAAATTTTGCCAAGCTAAACAAGCAGATTGAACTGCCAAATTGCTGTCACACTCTGTATTGCTTTATAATTCATTGAAATATGGCATTCACTTGCCTAAAATACATTGTAAAGTGATAATGTCGGATATATATGTACACTCACCAGATTTGCCTACTCCACCCTCTCCCAGAACCACCAGTTTGTAGCTCTGGACCATTCTCTATACAGGGAGAGAGACGTATGAAGGGAGTGAGATGTATGAGGGGGGGCGAGAGAGATGGAGAGGGGGCAAGAGGAGGATTGAGAATGGGAGGAAGGGAGGGAAGGAGAGGAGAGAACGGATGACATTTACATGCAACCCTTCACCATAATTATCTGTATGCAAGATTAGGGAGACATGCTATGTCCCATATGAGGTGGGCAATTTCCATCAATAGTGAGTTCCTAACCTTACCCTATTTGCAATTTCCATCAATAGTGAGTTCCTAACCTTACCCTGCACCACTCATACAAATGAAAGGTGGCTCAAACATGGTGCACTACATATACACAGCTGACCGCATAGCCAGCTAATGACTCAGCATTACCCTCTGCACATTGGGCAAGAAATCGATATCCCATTAAACTGCCCCTCGTTGAACACCCAATTACTCCTACCCTCCCCGCACAGTACTAATTGCTCACAGTTAATTGCGTGCTGGCTGTCATCTACTGCATGCCAGAAACTAGAATACTTTGTCCTTTTTAAGGTGTATAAGTGTAGTTCCAAAAAATTTTATCGCCAACTCAGAAATATCTGCTACAGTGCATCATAGCAGAGCATGGTAGGAGATGGTTCATATGAAACACACTCCTAATTCCCGCATTACACTGTATTAGTATGCAGTACATACGTATAATCTCTTTACGTAAGCCTATTGTCAATACATTTGCTGGTCACAATACTGATCAAAAGACCTGCTTAGAGACCTCCCGGGTTGGATATACAGACATAGAATTTCACTTCTAAAAACACCTCAGTCACGTCCGAGGTGTTTGCAGAGACAAGAATGTACTGTTTTACAGTAAGCTACAGCAGAGAAGCAGGGGGTTAGGGGGTTACCCACACTATTTCCTCCTATATATCTCTCCCTGCTTTTGACTAGTGCAGGAAGTCTCAGGCCCACCTTCCCACCCTCCTGTATCATCCTTTGAGAGTGACCTGTGGCCGGCCGCCAAAGTGGTTAGTCAGCCCCTCCCTCCTTCAATTGCTTGCTTATTCCCTAATCTACAACACAACTCTGCATGTGTGTGTGTGTGTGTGTGTGTGTGCGCCAGTGCATGTTGTGTGTGTGTGTGTGTGTGTGTGTGTGTGTGTGTGCGCCGGTGCATGTGTGTGTGTGTGTGTGGTGTGTGTATGCTTGCCAGTATAATAGCACAGGAAGCCAGTGCTCTGACTGGGGATGCAAGGAAAAAGGAAGTTTGGTAAACCACAGATCCAAGTGAGGTTCCAGGGATAACCAAGTTAGATAATTATAGATTATTTCAGTTCAGAAACCTTAATGCCACCAGCAAGAGTGGACAATACATCAGTTGTTTAGTATACTGCAGATGTCGTAAAACTGCCCGACGCTCAATCCAACTTGCTTTCACTCTTGAGAAGTAATAATGCAGAGCACGTCTGACAGTGTCATAGTAACAATTTGGACATTCTGCCTCAGCTACGCACACATGCTAGCAACTGCCCAAACCACTTAGCCGTACACATGCAGTCAAAAGGAGGCCAAAGCCGTCGGTAATTGCTCCATGATCTCTTGGCTGAGTAGCCCATCCACCACAAACACATGCATCCTACATACAGTGCAACATGCGCTATGTAGAAGAACAACATGTACAAGTCCAGGTAGGTCTTCCCAACAGCCTATTATGCCAGCATTATGAGAGTGTCACCAGAGAAAACAGATTGAATGGCGGTGTAAACAGAGTATGAGACTGTGAGGCCGGTCTTCAGCAAGGGTGGTCGTGTAGGGACATGCTGTAGGTATGTTGGCCAGGCAGGGCCGGGACATTTGCCAAGAGTTCACGCTGACTTGGTCACCTACGCTGCCCACACCTGGCAGCGTACCAAAACACATCGCTGCACCAGCCTGTAAATATGTTCGCCCAACAACAGTAAAACGGGCGTACGCACCAGCAAAAAAAATACGGCACCCCTGACACCGGCCGCTCTCTCAAAATCGCATCCACGCTCCACCAGCCGAGCGTTTTAGTCTTTCCAGACAGGCAACTACTGTGGGAGTGTACAGCAATGCTCTTCGTGGGCGCCAAAAGAGGAAAGGTCTAGCTAGCTATTGACATAATAGTTAGCGACTAACGTAACGATGTGTCTCTTATAGCGTGTAACATACTTGCTGGACTCTTGCCTTTCTCTCCACTGCAACTCTTGAGTGACTTACTGCCGCAGCCCGCCGCGATCAGAGCAGAATTTTGATGAGAATCTTGGGAAAGGAAACGCCCTCCAGTTTTATATTACTCTCTGCGTTGATAAAATTGTGTCGCGCTTATTTGGAAAAAACGCTATTATTACGGTCACTTTTGCGCATGCGTATTGTGCATGTCGGCTATCGCGCGCTATTATACACACAGCGCGGCAGCTTGGCGTCGCGTCCCGCGCTAAGGAAAGCCAAATCTAAACAAAAGGCATTGCGAGGCAACCACTGACGGTACAAGTCGTCAACGAAAATGTCTTCATCAAAACGGCATCGTGGAAACGGTATGATATTGTAAGCATAATCTCAAAGGTGTTACAAAACTATAAATCATGTAATCTATCACTCTGCAGAAGTGACAATCAACTCTGTTGATATTTTACCTGACAAGAACCAAGAGGATCATCACACAGATGACTACGAATGCTCCCTATTTCATGTGTTCAGGAGAGCGGCTCCCGTTATAATTGAGGTAGCTAGAGCTATAGACCCTGAATTGGCTTGCACGGAAATTCTCTGTGGAATTTGGACAATAGTTTATGTAGGGTTGCATGACTGTATCAGGTTACACAAAGGCACTCTATCAATAAACACATTCATATCATACCTAGGGGACTTTTTGCAAGTTCCATTATTTGAGACCAGTCACATTAGATAATACTACTTAAAGCCCTCCCCTGGTTAAACGGTAATATGTTACTACTGCCAACGGTCATTGCCTTTGTTTATTTGGCTGGCAGGTGAGTTTTTCAAGGCCACTATCTGGGGACAGAGTGAGTTTGGATCTGCACAGAGGGTATCGCACCAGCTACCGACGAGGCACCCGTTTCATAGCTACACTTGGCCTGTCTCCAAATCAACCTCATCAACTTGAATTACAGGTGAGCCTTTGATGAAGCCACCACACAAAGATGCGTGAATTGGCTGTCACAAAAGTTCCAACCGTTCTTCGGTTGTAATTATGTCGGTTATTACATTCCTTGTTCAGGAGCTAAAGTCTGAGGGATCTACAGTGACCCTCTCCCTAGTGTTGCCTGCTGATTTCCCAGTTGGAAAGTATCAGGTTGCCGCAGAGGTGGTCCCGCAAGGTAGCAGGCAGGGAGTAAAGAGAGACTGCAACAAAGACATTGTGGTGCTCTTCAACCCTTGGGCACAGGTATGTATGCTGTCTTAGTTACTATAAATTATACCCAAATATGCAGAGGAGCTGAGCTACTGTTTAAGCTCGAGCAAAATGTATTACAGTGAAATCCCACGTTGTATGAAAGTGTACTCTATTCAGTTCAGTGGTAATACATCGATGAAATGGGGCAGAATCTCAGAGTGTCCTTTATTCTGCGGGTCCTGGTTTCACTGTACAATGAGATTACTGCCTTTTGGCATTTTTTAGAGGACGCGGTAATGTTGGCATCAGAAGCAGAGAGGGAAGAGTACGTTCTGAATGAGTCTGGCATCATTTGGGCAGGAGCTCACAATGACATGTTTACCTGGCCGTGGAACTTTGCGCAGGTGAGTTCAATAACTCGGTTAAAAGCTAGTTTATGAGTATGCCCCGTTTCCCTGTGTGTCATGCATCTTCCTCCTATTTGAAATTTGAAAGTCATGATAGATATTATAATTCCCCGAATATGATGCCATAGTTCGAGGAGGTGAGTGTGCAAGTGGCACTATATCTACTGGACATGCATCGGTCTATGGACTCCGATGCCAGGAAAGATCCAGTTAGGGTCAGCAGGGCCATCACTGAAATGGTGAGTCACAGCTTACTCCACTATGCCAAACTGTGAGACAGACTTACAATTTGGCACCCATTATACAGTTACCAGCATCTTCTGCACTTTCAGTGATTAATTTTTGTGCTACCGTGTGCTGGAGTGTGCCTCTCTCTTGTGTCCAACCTTAGGAGGCTCTGCCTAGAGAGTGAAGGGCAGCTTTTAGCATGTTATCCTGGGCGTAGTTTTCCCTTTGTACTATTGGGGTAGTCCCTATGTAATTCTGTTGGTGAATTGAATCTCTGAACCCAAAACTTGTGAGAGTAAGGCTAGGTCGTGCCGTGTGGTACGTGCTATTACTGTAGGTGAATGTGGAGGATGATGACGGGGGCATCCTCTTTGGTCTGTGGTCCCCCAATGAAGGGGACTATGCCGACGGAACTGACCCCACTGCCTGGAGTGGGAGTGCAGCCATCCTACAGGAGTTCTGGGAGACTAAGAAGGCTGTCAGATATGGCCAGTGCTGGGTTTTTGGAGGTCTCCTCACAACTGGTTAGTCCTGGCCACCACACATATTATACAGCATAAACCTTCACTCATGTTGATGCTGAATTGTGTGGCTCTCAAGTTTGATATTGAAACCTTAACACAGTAGCCTTAGGCTAAATCAAGGTGTACCCTTTATAAGCAATCAATTGACTAGACACATAGTCCTTGAATCTTGTGGCCTTTAAGGTTGAGCTATTATATAAGTCCAGGGAATGTAGCTTACTAATAAGGCTTGTATATATTAGTACCACTTATGTTGTTGTAGTTCTCCGTTGTCTTGGGATCCCGGCAAGACCAGTGACCAACTTTGAGTCAGCTCACGACGGAGACGGGAACAGGGCTCTGGACAGATACTGGGACCTCCAGGATGAGATGGTGGAGGAGAAGAGCCACGATTCCATCTGGTGAGCTCTTGCCTGGCAAACCCTGTGTGTGGCTGCTGAGTGTGTACAGTGGATATATCTGATATCTGGACTTTATAACTAAGTGCCTTTTACCTGGCAGTTCTCGCAAGCCAACAATGGAATATTGATAATATTATGTTCAGAGTACCTCGACTCTTATGGAATGCTCAAAGTTGACCATAATGCATGCTAGAGCATTGTAGCTATGCTAATGTAAAATGCTCCAAAACAAAGCCTAGAGCTCCAAGGTTCAACCCCAGATATTGTTGAAGTTTCATTTCTGTAAAGAGCATTTTCACACTTCTGGCCACCCCTTGGTCCCAAGCTGCCCTGATAACTGTCACTAGTTACTGCTATGTAGTGAGAGGGTTTCGTGTGTACTCCACAGGAATTACCACGTGTGGGTGGAAGCCTGGATGGCAAGACCTGACCTGGGGCTGCAGTACAGTGGCTGGCAGGCCATCGACGCTACACCTCAGGTAGCCCCACAATACTCACATTACCAGAGTGCCGGTAATCCCCACATTATTTGTTAAAACTGCTTCTGAGTTAGTAGGTAGCCCACCTTTGTTTTTCTAACACAAAGTAACGAGGAACTTTCTAATAAACTAAAAACCAGGACCATGAAATTGCAGGAGTGTCCTTTATTTGTGATTCAGGAGATAAGTCCTCACTCCAAGTCCTATGTGGTTGGACCAGCGTCCCTGTCGGCAGTAAAGACTGGGCAGAGTATGGACTATGACACCGACTTTGTCGTAGCAGAGGTGAACGCTGACATCAGAGACTACTGCGAGGTGGAGAAAGACAAGTTTGTTCTGGCCGTGACAGACACCAAACGGGTAAGCTCCCTGCAAAGTACCCCTAATCGATATTATCTGCACTACAAGCAAGGAGACAAGACACTTTCAGTACTATTATCACATTAGATTAACTTACATAAACACATCACCACTTACTCGTGCACATTTCCACCAAATTATAGACCGAGCTACTACTTTCCCTACTTAGTGATCACTATCTCTGTGATGTTGTTAAGGGGTTGGTGTATGTATGTATGTATGTATGTATGCAGGTTGGTAAGACCGTAAGCACCAAGACAGTGGGCAGCAACAAACGATGCGACGTAACTGACAGCTACAAGTTTAAAGAAGGCAGTGAGCTAGAGAGGGCAGCTCTGGGGCTGGATGAGCCTGATGGTGCCTCTGATGTACAGCTAGATGTGTCTTTCAGCAAGCAACCGGCAATCGGGGACAACTTCGACGTGATAGTAACAGTAAGACAACCATTAATTTTACACCACCCTAAAACCTACCGTATAGGGGAAACCTTTAATTAGGAGAACAATTCTGCAAATAGAATGTCCCACTCTGCAGTGATCATGTCTTAAAACGATTTCACTGTAAACACTTTTAGAGATGGGTCTTAAACTTTTTAGTTTTCACTTTTCTTCCTTGGAAGTTTCCTGCCTGAGGTCGTATGAGTGTGTCTGTATTGTGTTATAATGTTTAGTACAGTCTTGTGTTTTCAGGCAAAGTGTTCAGTGAAAGAGGTTCGGACTGTGAGGGTGAGTGTGGCTGTCAGTTCAGTCTCATACACTGGAGGCAGTGGAACCAGTGTCAAGAAAGAACAAGGGAAAATATCCCTCACCAGAGGTATGACTCTGATTGTACACCTTCAGGAATACTTATAAATAAGCAAGGCAGAGGCAGTTCAACTACACCCAGGAACACTCTTTTTCCAAGGGGAAAAAGGAAGAGCTGCCCTGAGTGGGATTCGAACTAACGCCACTCTGCAGTCTAGGTGAATGCTCTATCAACTGGGCTACTTAGCGGGAATCTTCAACACAATACAACACCATACAGGGCTATGTTCCTGCATCGTGCTGGCTAATGTACAATGCTGATAGTATGGTTACACCCTAAAAGTTTAGCTATAGACTAATATGTCTTAAACTAAAAGTCCACAATTATTATGTGCTACGTCACAGCTGGTGGCAGTGGATCATACACAGTGGCAGTGAGATCCTCGGACTACCTGTGCTGCCTGCGGGACCAGGCCCTGCTGAGTGTGACGGTGCTGGCTGTGGTGAGTGAGACTGGCAAGGGCTGGGTCAGCAAGGTCCCTTGTCGTCTCCACAGACCTGATCTCACCCTACTCGTGGACGGCAAACAAGGTGGGGCAGCTAACACCCACTCAACATTGAGTGATCATGGTTGGCATAATCAAATCACACCACACAAGTTATAGCTGCCATTGAGCGTTAACAAACACTGCCTAAGGGGTTCATATAAGCAAGAATCCACCTTCCGTTGCATTACCAACTCGCTGTGCTTTCCCCCTGATTTTCTTTCCACGCTCACTGTATCCCCACAGTGGAAGATGATGAGTGGGTGGAGTTGTCAGCTGGGAAGAGTTACCCCGTGAAGGCCTACTTCACAAACCCTCTCCAGAAACCTCTGACCAACGTGGTGTTCCTCATTGAGGGAGCTAGACTCACAAAACCACTCAAGATCCCTGGAAAGTAAGTGCAAGTGATCCATTGGCAAAGGGACTTTCTAGCCAGTACTGCAACTAAGTATATACTTGAAACATTGGCATGGTAGGTATACCTCCAGCATTTCCAGGTGATAAACTATTGTCAATATTGCCGCTAGATATTATTTCCTAGTCATTCGTTTTATAAGCAAAACAGTGTTGTGTCCCATTTGATGGTGTTTTTCTTTCTTTCAGAAACACTGGAAAAGGTAAAGTGGCAGAGGTGTCCTTTGCCATATCTCCAAGAAGTGCCCCCAGGAAACGGCAGTCTCAGAGCTCCAAGCTGATAGTCACATGTCAATCCAAGGAGCTAAAGGGTGTCATGGGCACCGCATGTGTAACCATCACCAAATGAACCGTACAATCATAATTACATACATTAGGGTACCACTATTTAATTCTGTCATTAGGTAATCTAACCGTCAACAAACGAACCACACAGACATTAGAAACGCACACGAAAAGTTAATATTGTTGTGCCATCACCAATTAATGAATGAAATACAGATTAGAATCACACAAGAATTTTAAATGAATCTTGTAAGATATGAATCGATAATCATCCACGGATCTATTGTTCTGGTGGCGGAGAGTCAGTTGCTTTAGCTGGTACGATGGGAGCTGTCTGACTGGCATACTTGTCCATTATCTTCTCTGCCATGATGGCCACCTTGTACTTGTGCTGTAGCAATCTCTCAGTGCGTCTAAATCAGGTTAAATTAATGATCTTATACCAACTCCCTTCAATAAATCCATTTTCTCTCCCTCCTCTCTATAATAATAACGCTAACACATCTAGTTCTAAAACCCTGGCAGTGTTTTAATTATAGCTATCCAAAAACAGTTTTGTGTGAAGATTTGTGTCATTGTTATTTACCTGTCAGAGGCTCTGAGTAGTGCGTTGTGTTTCTTGCGAGCAGCGTTGATTTCCTGCTCTCTCTTGGCTAGAGCCCTGCAGGGGGCAGTGAAACGCATGTTGTAATAATTATAATGGCACTCTATTGAGTGCAGATACTTTTCAAAGTGATCATAGTTTTTCCTGCATGCCTCCTTAGAGTCTTTCAACAGTTGTTGGTAAGAAATTGATGGTGGTCTGCAGCGTTTCACTGGTTAAAGCATAAATATCCTGAACAACTAGTTGTGGCCCCCAAAAATTGATTGGCAGTTATGGTCGGAACCACCAAAATTTATGTGAGTCATACAACTTGGCAACAAAGTGGCCGCCCATTAAGTCGTCTGAATGAAGATTTGCACTGCACATAACGTAATGTGAAACTAATATTTAACTGCTTGCTTGGCTTGCCAAAATGCTTTTGCATGATTTACAGGCATGCTGAGAGATGAATGGGGGATACGGTAGCCTGCTAATCTGAGTCCTGCCCATCACAGGCCGCACTCTCTTGCACACTTCTCCCTTCCCCTTCTCCTCCTCCACTAGTCCGTGAGACACCAGGTAGTTCTGGAGGAGGGGACTCCTGCCCATTAGTCCAAATTGAACATGCTTAAACCTTGGTCCTTGACCCACACCCACTTCCTGAAGCAAGTCAAAGAAATTGTTTTTTTTGTGTGAATCAACTTGTTTTTGTCTAAATGCTATGCTTATAACAGCACAGGGATTGCTATATGAGAGTTTTTATACATTCAGGGCTGAGTTTTATAAGCACAGGATGGCGGCTAAATGGTGTTTATACCTCATTCTTGTCAGGGTTTGTAGAAGGAGTCTTGGCTCTAGATGGGGCAGTGTGTGAGCTCCTTGTTCTTCTTATCTTTTGGATAGCACCTGACACTGTACTGAGCCTCACGCTACGAGGCTTGTCCTTTATTGACAGTCTCATCACTGCAGGGAGAGGAATTATTATATATAGCTACCATAGAATATTCACAGAGTTAAAAGTCGTGCTTCTGGCAGAATGCTATCTGTATATCAAGCTATAGACCCTCTCTCACTCTCACATGCTAGTTTTGGGCAAATAAGTTGATGATTGCTTAACTCATGGATCCCAATGTGCAGTTGAAGCTGAGTAACCATTAGCATACAGTTGTAGCTGTATATACCATCTTTTTCAGAGAAGGTTGACTTGAGAGTTGGACTGGAGTTCTGGTCAGAGCTGGTGTCTTCTAACACTGAGTTGAAGTGAGGGTCCAGAAGATGGCGAGGCCAGTTTTTCCAACTCCCCAGAGGAGCTGCAACCCCTGCCATAACGGGTTTGATATTGCACAGATGAAGACAGTGTACACATACACTTTAGACTATTGCAATTACGAAACAAACCAGTAATCCATTCGTGTGTCAGGTTAGTCAGATACGACAGAAATTCCTCAGAGTTGAAGACTTTGCTGGACTGAGGAAATGAGTGGCAGAAGGCACTGTACACTGCTTTAGCCAGGCACCCTGGAAGATGCTATACATATAATATGTAGGTGACACACATGTGAGATAGACTATATATTAGAGTCCTTACAATAAAGGCTTCATCTTTGTGTTTCTGCCCGCCTAAGATGCTGCAGTGAAGTGACATGAAGTTCTCGGATATCAATCTGAACAGTCTTGATAGGTCATTCGGATCTGGCTTAGCCTGGAAACGAATTTCTTTAGAATCCCTTCCAAACAGAAACTGGTTCTTACCTTGAAGTAGCTCAGCCAAACATACCAAAATGTATTCTGAATCATTATTATAGAAACTGAAATAGAAACGAGGCTGTGAAACACACTATGTCTGTGTACCTGTAATAAACAGCAGGATGCACCTGAGTGGAAGAGCTTTTGCCAGCACTGTTGTACATAGAGCTGGAAATTGCATGGCAACAGTTGCTTTTAGCAGCCCTCAATAACTGTTAGCTATATACTCACGGGGAGGAGTGCTGTCTTAGTGACCTTATCCAGTAGTGTGAGAGGATCCAGTGTCCCGGGTAAGGCTACAGCTGAGCAGCCTCCTCCAATACCTGGATACACCAGTGTCTGGACACAAACAGTGACAACATTGCTGAATGTCAGTTTTTTCCATGAATCATGGGGTTTTAAGTGCATATCAAGGCATGATTTGTTAATGTGTAGTAATCTGAAAGACGAACAAACAAAAACTCCTCCATTAGAGTTTGAATTTTCTCGTACCAAAGGTGTTACAGCTGTAGCTATTAAACTCTGTGTGTTATCTATCAGTCTTACATCCAGTGTCAAGTCTTCATTGCTAGCAGTGTCTCCTAATGGGCACAGACGTTGTCTGCGTTGTGAGCTCTGATCACGTAACTCTGTGAGAAATGCTGAGGAAGAGGATCAGTGACAGCTTCAGACAACTAGTGAGTGATTCTGAACTCACTCATACCCTTGGCAACAGGCTGACCACCAGCCTCTCCCTCATGAGCTGTGGATCCAATGAGAAAGTGATTGGCTAATCCATCCAGGGTTCTCTCCATTTCCTCCAGTCTTTTCTCCACTCCATTCAGAAACACTGCACCCCAAGCTAAACGCGACAGAGTCAGTGTCACGTACATAAGGTAAACTACACACCAGTAGAAATGCAAGGAACTACACTAGGCGCTTCTAAAAGAGTTCAACAGTTTATATTTGGACTTTAACTGACGTGAGTGAGTTTCAAAGTCTTTCTTGATCTCTTCTAGAGGGCCTAGAACGGTGTCCGGGTCTAGGTTGCTCGGGAATTCGTTGGAAGCCGCGCAGGGCCACTCCGCCACGCCCTCCAGAAGCTTCCAGTCCTCGTAGCTATTCACTGGAGACTGGAGGTGGCGTGTTTTCTGCTGAGGCTGAGATCGACTGCTGGCATCTTGCCGGGCGAGGAAAGTCTCGCTCAACATATCGTGGACTCTCGTGTGTTACGTTGCTTAGCGATAAAAGGGGGAGGGGCTCACAAAGCGAGCAACCGAGCGTGCGCGTGCGCATAAATAATTATTATTCATCTGTTGACGAGTCTGGTTTTCCTAATAATTTGCTCTCCAAAACTCGGGGAAGAGAAACGTCAAATACCCTAGAGAGTTGCCATGTCCGAGGAGCACGAAATGTGCAGTTACGTTTCCTACGATGCCGATGATAGGTCCCAAATTTCACCCGCCGACAACGCCCTCCCGGCCCGCTACCGCACGCGCCAGACTCCGCGGGGCGGAAAGCGACGCAAGACAACTCTCGCAAAGAGGCAGCAGTCTCTGGTGAAGCTGGAGAAACAGCTCTCCCGGGAATTTTCCAGCGATGAAGAGACGTCGAAAAGTCCTCCGCCGGGCGACGGCGAGGAAAGGTACAAAATTCCGAGCGACGACTCCGGTTCGTCAGTGGATGAAGACTATGAGGTCGACTCTATCGCCTCCTCGATCGAAGAAACGTTAACGTAAGTTTCCCTGGAGAGAAACATATGTGCGTATGTTGGTGCTTTGGGGGTTTTGCAAAAAAATAAGCAAGTATCTAGCTACGTAGCTAGTGACCTCCCCTCGTCTGCAGTTGGCGGGGGCGCATGCAAGTGGCCCTGCACTCCACCGGGTTCCACGGCCTCATTGTTGCACTGGTCATCGCCGATGCTCTCATTGTCATATTCGAGCTGCTACTGGACGTTGGAGCGTTTGGTACGTATCTATAATAATAAGCATATACCTATATACATCATGTCAAAACACATGTCCTATCATGTTACTCCAATAATTTCACGATTTGCTCCTCCTCCACCCATAAAGGGAATCTGCAGTGCGAGGGAGAGACACTGTTTGAACAGAAAGAGAGGTGCCACTATGAGGACCCCGAACGCTGCAGGCCCACGGCCAAGCTGATCCTGGAGCAGCTAAACATCTCCACCTCTCCGGGGAGGGGTGTGGGAGAAGATGGTCTCTGCACTTGCAAGTTCAGACGTGGCTTGCGAGTTTGTGCTGATAGTGAGCTAAATTATGACAGTGGAACTTTCGATAAGGGATACTCTGAGATAAATAGGGACCTGTTTTTATCCAGTGTAATAGTTTAGTTTATTTTTTTACCTCCAAGATATAGACGACCTCCCAACAAGCAACAAATCGTTTGTCTCATAGTGTCCCTTGTTCGGAGGTTCCACTGTATTTTGTATTCTGTTTTTCATGCTCAGTGTATTATATACTTGCAGAGGATGGTGATGTAGGGGTAAATCCAGCTGTAGTCCTCCACGTAACAAGTATCATCATTCTCACACTCTTTGTTTTTGAGGTGAGGGCCCCTTAAAAACCTTGACATAGCGAATTTTCCTAATGTGTGGTATTTTGCAGATCATTCTGAAGCTGATAGCTTTCCGCCTGAAGTATTTCACACACAAGTTCGAAGTGTTTGATGGGACCATTGTGTTTCTGTCCTATCTCTTGGACTTGGCATCTCTGTACGTTCATATTTTGGCTTCAAAATGTCCTTCAAGGGAATGGGTCAATACATAAGGGCTAAATTTAGAATTTTTTTCTACAGACGGGCCCAGTGCAAGAACATAGGGCCCAGTGCAAGAATGCAATTAAATTCCGTTTTTCGTAACAGTTTCTAAATTTAGCACTTGTATGCTATCACATTCTAATCTAGTGTGTGTGTGTGTGTGTGTGTGTCTTGTAGAGCAGAGGAAGAGGCGTTTGAAGCAGCTTCACTTGTGATCATCCTTCGATTGTGGAGGGTAGTCCGGATTGTCAATGGTTAGTGCAATAATGCACATATTAACCACTGCATCACGATACACTAGTACAGTATAACCTCTGAAAAAGGACCCTCCAAGTAAGGAAACCTCTCTATAAGGGATGCTTCGTTCTGCCCCATGCTTAGTGTATTACCGAATGAAGGACACCTCTGAATAGAGCACACTTTCAATGTCCCCGAGGGGGCCACTTTACTTTCAGCTCGAGTATAAGAACACAAGTAACTTTGAAATCAGCCCTGAAAACTCATGCTGTGTAAGAAATCACCTGTGTGCAGGTACTGTGCTCTCTGCCAAGTCACGTTCAGACCAGCAGCTCTCAGAAGCACGGCTCAAGGTCAGGAAAATCGTACATGCCTTCCACAAGGCTCAGGACAAGATGGATGCATTGGAGGTTAGCTAAATAATAACCTCACAAGGACATAGTACTTGGTTTCTTGTTTCTTATCCGTTAGGAACAGAACAGGTTGCTGAAGAAGGAAGTTGCTCGAGCGAAAGGAGTCCGTGTACCCAGAGGACACTTTGGTATACAGGCACAGGCAGCGATAGATAAAACGAATGAGCAGGTCAGCAGCTTATGGTAACCTCTATATTATGTTGGCTTTAAATTGGTGGGTTCAGCATCTCAATTACACTTGGCCTAACCACCAAATTCCGAAACCCTTGCTAATTGTCCTGTGGCTATACAATAGTGTATTCCACCAGATGTTCTTTACTAATGCAGGCTGCTGACACTCGGGAGACAAGTACAGTCCCAGAGGAAATGAATTCCGGTATAATTTCACATTCATAGCTGTATCATATCCTGTTCTACTCACGCCGTCTCTGTCATGACAGGTGAGCAGAAGCCGATTTCCATGCCTGAGATTGTCGTAACAGAAGCTGGTGGACGAAACGGCACTGATATGTAGTGCCAGACATATAAACTTAGTTAGCTAGCGACACTGTTATTTTAGGTGAGTGTTTACTGTGACCGTGTATTGCATTGAAGCACTTGAATTTCGCGCCAAACTACCGCGGAAACACACTAGCACACGCCCCCCACGTCCTTTCGGGAAGGAAGGGCCCTAGATGAAGTCAGTTTCAGTCGGTAGTTCAAGACCCGCAGTAAGTAATCCATTGCGTACGAGAGTGTCCAGCGACATGGCGAGTGTTCCCAGTGAAGAACATTCCCCGACTTCAAGCTACAACGCCTACCCGGGCGACGCGGAGCACCCTCCTGCTTACCCGGGGCGCGACGTGGAGGCCGGCGTGGGACCGTCAGGTGCAGCTGCTCCACACGGGGGTGCTGGCGGAGAAGAACAGAGGAGTACCAATGGAGAGGTGAGACCTTCAGTCCTACTAGTCGTTGGGACTTGGAGAATATTCACGGTGCACCACTTTATGAATCTGTCTGTTGTGTGGTGGCCAGGGAATAGAGTCTCGAACTTAGATACTGCGCCCCATCAGCTGGAAATTGGGCCCTGTGTACATGTGTATATACCTATATTACACCCTACACAAACACCGGACACCATCGTTATCCCACATTTCCCTTGTTATTCCCTCACCCTCTCTGTCTCCCTCCCTCCCTCCCTCCCTCCCCTGTCCCCCAGCTCCACCGCCGTCTCTCCATGGGTAGCACTGCCTCCACTGAGTCCAGTGTCAACGAAAACCTCGAAGTTGCCTCTGTCACCTCCTCCATCGAAGACAGACTCACGTATGCAACAATCAACCCCGCCTAGTACCATATGTGCTACGTCGATTGTAGCCCATTTTGCTTATTTCAAAGACACTGCCATAGTAGTCTGGTAGTGCAATAGTCACAATGCTCATATTCGTGAAGATGTGTGGTTGCTTGCAACGATAGATTAAATAGCATCTTCTGGTATATATCCGGTATATTAGAACCAGGTATGCATGCCATCAGGAGTTCATACAACATAGTTACTCGATGCATGGCAGAAACGTATTATGTATACACAGACAGGAGGTTTCTCTAACTGTAATATGTTGGTATCCAGCAATGTAGCATGTTGTGCCCCCCCCTGAGGAGATGGCCGTAGGTAGTCGTGTCATGTGTGTTACTGCAGGTGGCGAGGTCGTATGCAGGTCACGCTCCACAGCCATGCATTTCACTCTGTCATCATTGTTCTGGTGGTGTTGGACGCTCTCATTGTCCTGTTTGAACTGCTTCTGGATCTCGGAGCATTCAGTACGCTATCTCAATATACTGTAGATATGTCGTGAAGGTTATGTTGTAAGTGCTATAATATATTCTATGCTGTATTGTGCATGTCCCTTTATGGTGACTTGTAGGGGATGCCCCTGTTTGCTCTAATAAATCATGTGCACTTCTGGCTGCAAGCCTTCCTCTCATGATTGTTTGTAAATAGCTCGGATCTCTGTAAAAAAGACTTGCCTATTATCTTTGGGCTTCCCGTTGTGTCTGTAGCTGTGGACATGATGTATTGTGTGTGTGTGCATGCGATTGTGGGTATTTCAGAATAGAGACTTGGCCTGTTGACTGCAAGGTTTCCACTGTCTTTACACATGTGAACAGTTATTATGTCCACATGTGTGGTTATGTATGGTGCCAACCCTTTTGTTTAGAGTATATACAGGTTCCCATTCCCTGTACATGTCTCCCTGTACATGTCTCCCTGTACATGTCTCCCTGTACATGTCTCCCTGTACATGTCTCCCTGTACATGTCTCCCTGTACATGTCTCCCTGTGAACGTGATATAGTTCTATGCTCTTTTCGGTTGAGAGGAAGCCTATTGTCCAGCAACCGGATGTGACGCCACGAGAGCAATCAAAATACTCTCACTTGCGTGCAAAGGGTCTATTGTGTGGCATTCACTATATATCAGTGTGTAGCCTAGCCAGGAAATGTCGACATGATCTGGCTAGTATAGTGGTAATGTGTTTGCCTTCCTTATTCCATATTCATACATTGTTCTCATACGTACTGTACTGTACCATAGTGCCTAATCACGTACTGTGCACAAGGCCACAGAGTTGCTGACGTGTAAAATGTGTACAAAACCGTAATGTGGAGTTCACAGATCACTTTATTTACCTTGACACCTGAGATGGTGGTTCTAAGCCATGCACCAGTTTCCTTCATTTTTGAAGTCATACTTGCAATGCTACCAATAATGAGAAGAAGTATGTGACTGTTGCTAGTCTCTCTGCATGTGGCAGTCAGGACTTTACATTACGGATAACTCCTGCAAAAGTTTCCCAAATTAGTCAGTACACATGATATCTATTAGTGTACTGCCCACTACATTCTGCACCAATGCTCAATGGCTGTGTAAATATGTAGGGCTATATACACATGGCTGATATATACTCCCGATTGACAAATATGCATGCATATCTTCAGGTCATCTTGTGTGACTGCAGGTAACATTGAGTGTGAAGGGGAGGGGATCGTGGAACAGGCGGAGTTCTGCCACTACTCCAATCGTTTCAGGGAAAAGTGTGCCCCCCCGGCCATACTGATTCTGGAGAACATCAACATCTCGGCTTCCCCTGACCTCCCAGACGGGCGGCCTGGAGTCGGAGAGAGCGCACTGTGTGACTGTGACTTTAGTCGTGGTCGGAGAACATGCTTGCTTGGTGAGTAGCTGCGTACTTCAGTCACTCTAGAGGTTGGTTCGTGGAAGTAATTAACGCACGTTTCCGTAGGAATGGCGGCCATCTTGGAGGGAAAAAGAAGTGGTGAAGAACTCTTTACCCTCCAAGATTGCCGACTTACGGAAATATTCGTAACCGAGCGTAACCTCTCTATTGTGTGTTTGCTGTGTACAGTTGAAAGGACCCTCGGTGACAACCTCACCTGACAGAGACTCTCTATCCTGTCTTGCACTATCCCATGTACGAATTACGGCAATCACGTCTGATGATGTCTCTTTAGCCTGCTCTCTTTATGAACAAAGCGCTTAAATTATCTTCTCTGAGTGAAAGGGCACCTACGGTTGTTTCTGCTCTTGGCTGATACATTGGTGTAGTGTGATTACCTCCTAATACCCGACACCTCAGATCGTAGGACAGTTTTGATGTCTCCAAGTTGTCCCTAGGTTTCGCAGTCAGTAGTGGGAAATTTTCCCAGTGCATGGCCGCCACAACTTCACTGTGCTCATGCTGTTTGCATATCGAGTGTATACAGTTTGTGAGAAACATACAGACCCACTACTGTAAAAGTGAAATTATTAATGGACTTACACTCTCCTTTCATAACAAATAACTAGCGTCTTTCACATTCTCCAACCCTTGCAAAACATTCTGTATGTATACCTGTCAGTGAGAGGTTGCCAGATGGACAACCTCTCACTGACAGTAGAACTTAGAGTAGAGGGAAGGGAATGGGGGGAAGACCAGCTTTTGTCTGGGAGTTGTAGCTCGGTGTCCAGTGCACTGGACTTGAGTACACAGCTCGGGAGGGAGGGGGAAAGAACTTGGAGGGAATGTAGGAAAACAACCGTTGTCTGGGAGTTGTAGCTCAGTGCGTAGTCCACTGGACTTCCAGTCACGACGGCTGACTTCGACTCCCGACAAGAGTTGGTTCTTTCTCTTTCCTTCCTGACCTACGTAATTCTTCATTCTTCCATCTACCTGTTCAACTAAGAACATTCCCGTGTGTGTCTTTTTACAGAGGGTGAATCCCACGGAGTCAATCCAGCTCTGGTTCTCCACGGCATCAGTCTGTTCATCCTCTCCGTCTTCATGATTGAGGTGAGTTTCTGTCATTAGCTGTTGGGGAATGGACCGTACACGTGTTCTCTGGCACTACCAAAGTTAAACTTAGCTACGTGAAAGGCCCGAGGGCTTCTAACGCGCGTAGATTTCACAGACTCGATGCTACATGTATAAACAGTTGTTGTTTTTTATGAAGTCTTAGAATGCATCAGTCCCATACATTTCATTATGCCGACTTGCATTGCAAACCACAGCCACATCACCAAACCACCAGATTGAAGACATGTAAAATGCAGCTAGCATTGTCCACTCGTTTGATGAACATCAGCTGTATATCTGACCACACTGGTCAATCTTGACCATGGGTTTTCACTACACACCATGCTCAATCACAGATTGCTGTATTAATCTGAGCCTCTCCCTCTATTCAGATTGGCCTGAAGCTGATAGCCTTTAGAATGAAGTACTTCCTTCCCTCCATTCACCACATCCACGGTCACAAGTTGTACTTCATCTCCTTCGAGACGTTTGACGGATTGGTGGTCGTAATTTCCTGGATCCTTGACATTGCCTCCCTGTCAGTTACTGCTTATTGCTTATCCCTGTTGATATGGTGTGGTCCATGTGGCATGCATTGAATGACAGAGTGATGTTGCATGGTCTATGAATCATACCCATACATTGAAGTTGTGTGAGATTACAAAGTTGTAAACATTTTTCGGCTTCTTTAACCGTTTGGGCACCATGGGTATCTTCATAAGCGCCTAGTATTATAACTCCTTCATAAATTCATACGGACTTGTGGAGGCTCTGGACACATTTTATTTGTCCGCAGTTTGTAGACAGGTTCAAACTGCAAGTTTGCAAAAAAAAGTTTTCCTTCCAAATTTTCCCACTTTATACAGTCTTCAATCATCTCCATGATTTACGTTTGCCAATGTTTGTCCTGCAGGAAAGAGGAAGAAGCGTTTGAACTGTTTGATTTGGTCATCATCCTCCGACTCTGGCGTATTGTGAGAGTCGTCAACGGTAAGGAGAAAGAAGATATCACGAACATTTTTAGCTGGCCAATTAGGGGCCCTATGTGGTCTGGAGGGTGGGTGTGTGTTATTGGGGAAAGAAGAAAGAGAGGTAAAGTGTAGGCAGGACTATAGGTGATTTCTTTGCTAGATGTAAGGCTATTATGAAAATGCTTTTGCACTTGCGACTGATTGTATAGTGGTCTACCAAGTAACCAAGGTTGTGGTTCTTTGGTAGCAAGTAAGTCTGCCCTCCCAATTGGCAGCCTTTCTCTGCATCCATCCCATATAGCATGGTCTTTTAATGCAGTTCTTTGCTATAAGTCTGCACATGAGTCCTAACCACATTTTCTTAAAACTTCGTGGCTTTTGAATGCCAATGAACAACGAAACCTTTTTGGCCCTCATAAGTTCAGTTCGTGGCAAAGTGATCAGATGTTGCGTGGTCTATCACATGTGTGTGCAGATTTGGTCTATCATACCCATACATTGAGGTTGTGTGAGATTTTCAAGTGCTGTAATGTTTGCCTTTTCAATTTTCATTCCTCATTGTTCAGGTCCCATACATTTTTTATAGGCACGGAAAAATTTGACTGGACCAGTCACATTTTTCCGCGCCTATAAAAACATACTTGAATGTGTACCTGTCTAGTGCATAAGACCTCTGCTGTTTATCAATCGCTCGGAT